GGTCATTTTTGAGCTAAAAATAGCACATATTTCAAATTAATTAGACCGTGACCTGACTATGAGATGCATTAACCTGTTGATTTATCGGTACTGTACAAAATACGTGTACTTACAGTCACTTTTCGATGTAAACGGAGAACATATACGAATAAAATAAACATTTGCAAAGTTGATCCTGTTAGTAAACGGATAAAATTTTATAACGGCTATGGGTTATAACAATGATAACGTGTTTAAGTTACACCCCTGACTGTATACCCTGCAGTGATATATTTCCAGTGTTTTCTAATTTTCTGAAATACAGAAAATATAAACAAACAAACTTCAAACAAAGTCTTTTCAAACTTTTATTTCAAATCACCATTTCAAATTGCACTTTATACTTACTATAGATTAAATACCCATGATGCATCAAAGCTGACAAATGCGCGTCTTGGTTTGCCTCTAAAAATACTTGTATATAGTTACCTTTCAGCATGCAAGTTGACAAAAATTTATTTCACGACTTATATACTTGAAACTCACTTCAAGGCTATAAGTTAATAAACGCGAAATATAAATAAACACACAACAAATCAATACTATGGAAATTTTTAGGGTGATCACACACACTGTATCAAGTCTCAAAATTATTTCTTTATAGAAATAAATTTGCAATCAGGTTATGGTCATCTGATTTAATCATGTGTACAGACACGGACAAGCAGCCAAGCCCAATATCAACATTTCAGCAATCCGCAGTACATGTAGATAAAGATATAGCAATGGTGTATTTAATTTAATACCATTTCATTTGTATTAAATCCTTTTTTTTTCTTTTTTTAAGAGGGTATTACACAGACATAAATAATACCAACATATATGCCGCCAATACAGTTACTATGGCTAGTTATTCATGACTATTCGGAAGCTTTCACAGACACCAAAGGCTATATATATAATAAATTCATGATATAGGAATCTGAAAGGTATATATATGTATGTAAGTTGGGAGGGGAGAAAAAAATTTATGTTAGTTACAGTTGTTAATTAGCCTCACCAATACCAAAGTGTTAGGACTGTTGAATGGATGGATGACAGATGATTGAAAGAGTGCCTGCAGTTACATGCATCCCATGCCAACCACTGTTACTGTCTGTGACTGTGCTTGCAAATACCACACAAACATACAACAACCTGAAAAATTATAAATAACATAATTCCAGTTTCTAAGAAAACATTACACAATAAAATATTTACCTACATTCAACACCATCAAAATTAACCTAACACTTAATAAGTTTACCACTAAAAAAAATGTCACTGAAAGTTAATAGTAATTTAAGAAAGAAAACAGTTCAGTTCCACTTTCACTTTAGAATGTAAACAATGTCAAAGAACAGCTGATGAATATATCCGGTATAATGTTGAACGGTTGAATCCCAGTTGTTATCACATTTAAATCCTTTCTATTGACGACAAATATGTTGAATTAACGAAAATTTATGACATGATCATGTAATGATAATGTTTATGAGCTCAAATGATTATAAATGACGAAATGGTGCACAATACAAATCCTTTCCCATGTTTGTTTACAATAAACATTCCTGAGGGAAGACGTTGGTTGTTGTTGTTCCGGAAATGGCTAAAAATACCATGGCCAATCTGATTGGTGGAAAATGGAAGCCCGTGACGTCATACATGGCAAATCAAACTGTATCGTCCCCAAAAAGTTTCGTACGTCCCCTTCTGGTGAAATAAGGAAAGCTACACTGGCCACCAATGTCGTAGGGTTCCTCTTTCCTAATAAAGGAGGGGCTGTTTCGGCCTGTAATGGCACGGAAACAAATAAACAATTTACTTAGGATGAAAGAAAACGCAAACACAGCTACTTCGTGGCGCAAACCAATGGAAGTGTATTCAATGTGCAAAATACAAAATGCAACACGCATGTCATTTCAATAATTGAATGAATACATTACGAGTAATAAATAACAACCAAAATTACCTGTAATGGCACGGAAACAAATAAACAATTTACTAAGGATGCAAGAAGACGCAAACACAGCTACTTCGTGGCGCAAACCAATGGAAGTGTATTCAATGTGCGCATGCGTGACTTCCAATCCGGGTGAGTAAATGTTAGGAGGCCCGTCCAGAAGAAATTAGTTGTTATGCATTATATAGAATGACATTAAGTGTTACATGTTGCAATGAATGAAAAGGATGAATGAAAATGAGAAAAATATGGGGGATGAATAGGACAAATATATAGGACATATATGATATAACAAAATGACAAACGTACAGGGAATATATAACGACACAATATATAAGACATACATACAAACAATAAATTATACATGTCGGTATATTACCCTCGTGACATATATGTTTTGAAGTTTGTATCAACTGTTGAAGTTTATTTTCATTTTTGTTTTAGTAGTTTGTTTGCTTGTTCTTTTTTATTTTTTTATAGATTTTTTTTGCAGAACTTTGTTAAACTTGACGTTATACTTTTGTTATTTTATTATGAACAGTATGCATGTACATACATGTATATAAGGCAAACGAGCACATGGCAGTTATTTTCTAAGAACTTCCATCGACCGATTTTCAAGTTAAAAATATTTCATTTTAATTTTATCTTAAGATATTATTGTTCATAGGAATAATAGTATTTGTAGACAACATGTAGTTTTAAGTACATACAATTGAACGTAATTGTCTTTGCTTTCTTGTATTTATTATATTAAGTTTTCATTGAAATTAATTCCGAGGATAATAATGTAATTTTATAATTTGTAAAAGGCAGCCTAATTATTTTTTTTTTAATGGGTGCGGAATTTGTTTTTAACGCGTTTGGTGCTTATTATATATAGTTATCATACATCAAGAGCGCTGGAAAAATAAACAAGCTTTTCGTTGTCTGTTCAAACAAAGATGCATTTTAGACGTATGAAAGTCGCATCACATGTGCTTTCTTTAATGTATTACATGTATTGTTTGTTACTATAAATTGAAAATGCTTTAAAGTTCCGAGTTGTTCTCAAAATTACCTAATGGAGCAAATGTTTTTCATTGGCTAGTTTATCTAAATTAAAGATTTATACAAACATATTCGACAGTTATCTCATTCTCAGAAAAAAAATCTAGCAATAGCTGTAGTGATAAATTGTCTTCATCATAACTTTCTACACTGTAAAATGTCTTCCTTAAGACAGTCAACGTGACAAGAGTCGCATTTAAAGTAAAAAAGATGACGTTAAAAAATATTAAAACTTCTATTATTTTTGGAGGTTAATTTATACTGACCAACTGACCATGGCGTTCCCCCGCGGGAAACGGGTGACTGATTTTATCGATAAATGAAGAACGGTCGTCAGAATTTTGTCCGCGGTGGAAACAACTGAACACCGGGGATCGCGGGGAAATTAGGCTTCTCATCGCAGACGAACCCCCGCGTTTGTCCGCGATAAAAAAAATCGTCCGCGGTGGTATCGCGGAAAAAGCAAAACCCGCGGTGAGCGTACTGTACTGGTTGGAAAGTATTTGAAGATATTTCATTGCGTCTTATAGAAGATAATTCATAGCAAATTTTCGCAGTGAATATATCACTGTAACTCTCAGCTATAATTATCATAGAGTTTTTATTTTCTGTAAATTCAAATATTACAGGTTGTATTGAGTTTGAGCTTTTATTTTTATTTTGAATTTTCCTGACTATTTGTGACTGAACTATATAGTCATGGAGGATACAACAGCAGATTTGACTGATATTCGGGAGGCCGAGTTGCAATATTTTCTTGATCAGGTAAAAAAATCAGGCAGGTATGTTGTTATTCCTCAGGATACTAGTACCCCTGTCCCTCCTCCCAGAAATATTACCAGGAATATTAAGGACAGACACAGATGTTTTACCAAAGGCAGATGCATATGGTGTTCCACCAACACGTCCACCTCCCCCACCACCTTCCGCATTCTATCCACAGTCTCTTTTAGATTCATCTCTTGGTCTTGCCCATATCCGTGTTCCCAAACTTCCCCAATTTTCTGATGAAGGCCGTCCTGGTGAATGTGAGTTTGAGGTCTGGAAATATGATCTCAATTGTTTAATACGTGGCCGTGCATACCCTGACCATTTACTTCACGAGGCCATACGTAGTAGTTTGAAGGGTAAGGCTAGAACTGTTCTACTCCATTTAGGTGAATGGGCTTCTATTGCTGATATTATTGCAGAGCTTGATGCAATATATGGTAATGTGGCTACATCTGAGCGACTTAAAGAGGAGTTTTACTGTGCCAGACAGAAACCTTCTGAGTCTGTAGCTGAGTACATTCTGAGACTTGAAAGGTATTTGACCAATGCCAGTTTAAACTTGGATCATCATACCAAGAATGATATGTTGCTTAACCGTTTATGGTCTGGCTTGAGAGATGATGAACTTCGGAATGTGACTAGGTACAAGTTCGAGTCCATTTTTGATTTCAATGTTCTCAGACGTGAGCTTCGCCAGATTGAACAGGACATGAAGGCGCGTAAGGCTTCTGTCTCTTTTTCTTCTTCTGCCACTAGTACTAAGTTTAGTAACCCCGTCTCTTGTTCAGTCAACATGTCTGTTATTGAACATAAGGTGTTGCAGCATTAGGAGAATTAACTTGCCAAATGAAGAAGATGAACACCAGAGTTGAGACCATTGAAAGAGACATGCAGAAACTGAAGAAGGGTCAGACTCCCACATCTAACTTTTCTAGGTATCCCTCCAGTAGTTATCTTGGTAGAGGTCAAGGTCGAGAGACATCAAACAAGAATAAACCGGTAGTCCAAAACCCTCTTACAGATGTCAAACCAGTTCCAAAGAAGGATGATTTAAACGAGGCCAGATCTTCTCAACGGGCCAGTAGAAGGTCGACATAGTAATCCAGGCCCTAATATTGTTCCTTTACTTGGTCATTCCAACAGTTCTAATGTTATTATTAATGGACATAATTGCCAAGCTTTGATTGATTCTGGATCCATGGTCACTACAGTTAGCGAATCTTTCTTTGAGACTTTAACACCATCTCAAGACCTTCATAGTTTAGAGGATTTTGCCCTTGACATTTCTGGTGCCAATGATGCCAAAGTTCCTTACAAAGGATATGGCCTTCTTGATCTTTCTATTCCTTCACTTGAGTCTGATACTATAACTGTTCCTGTTTTAGTTGTTCCAGATACCTCTTATTCTTCAACTGTACCAGTTATTGTTGGAACTAATGTCATTAGACATTTCAGTACCATTGATGCACAGGAAAATATCCCTTCCTGTTGGCAGCAAGCCTTTACTGCTGTTTCTTTTGTACAGTCTGTACCTGTGAAAGCTTTTAATCATAAACCTTTCACAATTCAGCCTATGCAAACATGTACAGTTACTGGAATGGTTCGTAATGTTGGAGATATGACAGTTGGTGTTACTGAGACTTCTGATTCTGCACATTTTCTTAATATCTGTCCAAGAGAAGTACATGTTAGACCTGGTAATACATTTTCTAAGGTACCTGTTAGGATTTGTAATTTGTCTGTTCGTCCTGTAGTTATTTATCCCAAATCTGTTCTTTGTAACCTGAAGGAAGTTGAAGTTGTTGGACATATTGATCTATCAGATGGTGTTCATTCTAAATCTCACAACCAGGACAAGACACTTAAAGACTTAGGGATCACTGTCCCCTCTGATACCCTTTCTCCTCTTGAATGTTCAAAGGTAAAGACTTTCCTTAATGGCTGGAAACATATTTTTTCCACAGGTGTGACAGATCTTGGCTGTTCCAGTACTGTTGAACATGAGATTGAGTTAGATGACCCTACACCATTTAAGGAGCCTTATCGGAGAATTCCCCCAGGTAGTTATGAGGAAGTGAGAGAACACATTAAGGACATGTTGGAAGCTGGAGCTATAAGAGAGTCTAACAGCCCCTTTTCTTTTAATGTAGTTCTTGTGAGGAAAAAGGACGGGTCTCTACGTTTTTGTATTGACTTCCGTCGTTTGAACAACGGTACCATCAAGGATGCATATGCGCTTCCACGCATAGATGAGACTATTGATTCCCTTGTCGGTTCCAAGTATTTTTCGAAATAAGACCTTCGATCGGGTTATTGGCAAGTGCCCTTAAGGGAGTCGGACAAAGCCAAGACTGCATTCACCGTAGGACCCCTCGGTTTCTATGAATGTAATCGCATGGCCTTTGGACTTACTAACGCCCCCGCCACTTTTCAGCGACTTATGGAGCGCTGCATGGGTGAACTCAATCTCAAAGAATGTCTCATTTATCTTGATGATGTAATTATTTTCAGTGATACTGTTGAAAAGCACTTTGAGAGGTTAGCAGCAGTGTTTTCCAGACTTGAGCATTATGGCCTTAAACTTAAGGGTTCCAAGTGTGAATTTTTTCAGCTCGAGGTGAAATATTTGGGCCATGTGGTCAGTGCAGATGGCGTTCGAACAGATCCTGAGAAGACTAGTGTCCTGAAAGATTGGCCTATTCCAAAGTCCATTAAAGATCTTCGTTCTTTCCTGGGTTTTGCAGGGTATTACCGTCGATTTGTCAATGGCTTTTCACAGATCACTAAACCTTTGAATGACTTACTTGTTGGTCACTCAACCAACAAGAAGGCTAAGTCAACAAAACTAGCTGCTCCTTGTAATTGGGGTCCAAGTCAGCAAGAAGCTTTTGAAACTATTATTAGAAAGTTGACTTCAGCTCCCACATTGACATATGCAGATTATTCTAAGCCCTTTATCCTTAACATCGATGCAAGTTGTGTTGGCTTAGGAGCGGTCTTGTATCAGGAAGTCGAGGGAAAAAAGAAAGTGGTAGCCTATGCCAGTCGTGGACTTCGACCTAGTGAACGCAATTATCTCGCTCACAAGCTTGAGTTCCTTTCTTTGAAGTGGGCTGTGGTGGAGAAATTTTATGATTTTCTCTATGGTCATAAATTCCTTGTCCGTACTGATAATAACCCACTCACTTATGCTTTTACTTCAGCCTAATTGGATGCTCAGTCCCATCGCTGGTTAGATGCTCTTGCGACTTTCAATTTCTCTATCCAGTATCGTTTCGGCAAGCAGAATGTTGATGCTGATATTTTATCAAGGTTACCAGAAAGTGTTCAGATTGATAGTGGTGTGAATCGTATTATGTATCCAGATGTTTTGAAGGCTTTGTTTCAAGCTACTTTAGCTGATGTGCATGAACTCCCTGCGTTTGAGTGTGTTTCCATCTCTCAACAAGTACTTGATACACCTTCCTCTGAAGAAGTAGATATTGGTTCCAATTTGAGTGACATCAATTGGTTAACAGAGCAGTGTAATGATCCTACCATTTCCAGAGTAGCTAACATTGTCAAGGCCGGTCATAAATTAACCAGTCGTCAGAATTCCCATTAGACAGACGCAGTACGTCAGTATTTACGTGAGTGGCCTCATCTTTTCTTGAAAGAAGGTATTCTTTACAGAAATGGTTTTGTTTCTGGACACCCAGTTATTCAGTTATTAGCTCCCACTGTGTTTCATGAAATTATATTTTCAGGGCTGCATGACGAAGCTGGTCATCAGGGTAGAGACCGTACCCTTTCCTTGATTAAATCCCGGTTTTATTGGCCTGGTTTAGCCATGAACAGGCTCAATCAAACCGAGCCTGCAACATTTTCAATTTTGCCGTGTTGGGCTTTCTTTAGGGATTCTGTATTCATCTATTTTTAGATCATTTTGTTGACAGGCGCATACGAGAATGTCAAAGATGTATCCGGCGAAAGACGACAGTCAGGACCGCAACACCCCTTGTCTCTGTTGAATCGACTTTTCCATTAGAATTTGTCTGTATGGACTATTTATCCCTTGAAATGTCTTCCGGTGGGTATGAGCATATACTGGTCATTACCGACCATTTCACTCGTTATGCTCAGGCTATACCCACTCGGAATCAGACAGCTCACACTACGGCCAAAATCCTTTTCGAACAGTTCATCTGTCATTACGGATTTCCCAGCCGCTTACACAGTGACCAAGGTCGCAATTTTGAAAGTGCTGTTATACTTGAACTGTGTAAGTTGGCTAACATTGAAAAGAGTAGAACCACCCCATATCACCCACAAGGTAACGGTATGGCGGAGCGGTTCAACCAAACCCTGTTAAATATGTTGGGAACTCTTGAGGATTCTCAGAAGTCCAATTGGAAGGCTCATGTACCACCTTTGGTACATGCTAACAATTCGACTAGGCATGAAAGTACCGGGTTAACACCTCACTTTCTAATGTTTGGTAGACATCCACGCCTAGCAATTGATGCCTTCCTTGGCATTGAACCTGAAGATTCTGAAAAATTCAGGAATCATTCCAACTATGTCATGGGACTACAGAAACGCCTGAGTTACGCCTATAAAGTAGCCAGCCGTGAGTCTAAGCGGCAGTCCCGCCGCCATAAGCGACGATATGATCTTAGGGTAAGACATGCCAAAATTGAGCCAGGTGACAGAGTTCTAGTCAGAAACGTTGGCCTAAAGGGTAAGAACAAACTTGCCGATAAATGGGGCAAAGATGTTTATATTGTTCAAACCCAACCCAACCCAGACATACCCGTATTTGTTGTAAAGCGAGAGCATGGCCGAGGTTCTAAGACTGTCCATAGAAAAAAAAAATTCTGGAAACAAAGTGATCCCTCGGAAGCATTAATCACAACAAAATAACATAAGAATTGCAGACTCGGTTTGATTGAGTCTGTACATGAGGGATAATGAATAAGTGCAACATCCCTCACGCCCCCTAGCACCGGCTTGAGCGGTACTCAAGAGCGGTACTCAATTCTCAACACTTTATAGTGTTGGCATCAATGATCCCGAAGGACCAGAAAATATAACAACACTGAAGTGAAGTACGGGGCAACTTTTTACGGCTGCCACACGGCACTTGACACCTGCTGTTGTGAAGTACAAAATTCTGGAAACAAAGTGATCCTCGGAAGCATTAATCACAACAAAATAACATAAGAATTGCAGACTCGGTTTGATTGAGTCTGTACATGAGGGATAATGAATAAGTGCAACATCCCTCACGCCCCCTAGCACCGGCTTGAGCGGTACTCAATTCTCAACACTTTATAGTGTTGGCATCAATGATCCCGAAGGACCAGAAAATATAACAACACTGAAGTGAAGTACGGGGCAACTTTTTACGGCTGCCACACGGCACTTGACACCTGCTGTTGTGAAGTACAAAATTCTGGAAACAAAGTGATCCCTCGGAAGCATTAATCACAACAAAATAACATAAGAATTGCAGACTCGGTTTGATTGAGTCTGTACATGAGGGATAATGAATAAGTGCAACATCCCTCACGCCCCTAGCACCGGCTTGAGCGGTACTCAAGAGCGGTACTCAATTCTCAACACTTTATAGTGTTGGCATCAATGATCCCGAAGGACCAGAAAATATAACAACACTGAAGTGAAGTACGGGGCAACTTTTTACGGCTGCCACACGGCACTTGACACCTGCTGTTGTGAAGTACAAAATTCTGGAAACAAAGTGATCCCTCGGAAGCATTAATCACAACAAAATAACATAAGAATTGCAGACTCGGTTTGATTGAGTCTGTACATGAGGGATAATGAATAAGTGCAACATCCCTCACGCCCCCTAGCACCGGCTTGAGCGGTACTCAAGAGCGGTACTCAATTCTCAACACTTTATAGTGTTGGCATCAATGATCCCGAAGGACCAGAAAATATAACAACACTGAAGTGAAGTACGGGGCAACTTTTTACGGCTGCCACACGGCACTTGACACCTGCTGTTGTGAAGTACAAAATTCTGGAAACAAAGTGATCCCTCGGAAGCATTAATCACAACAAAATAACATAAGAATTGCAGACTCGGTTTGATTGAGTCTGTACATGAGGGATAATGAATAAGTGCAACATCCCTCACGCCCCTAGCACCGGCTTGAGCGGTACTCAATTCTCAACACTTTATAGTGTTGGCATCAATGATCCCGAAGGACCAGAAAATATAACAACACTGAAGTGAAGTACGGGGCAACTTTTTACGGCTGCCACACGGCACTTGACACCTGCTGTTGTGAAGTACAAAATTCTGGAAACAAAGTGATCCCTCGGAAGCATTAATCACAACAAAATAACATAAGAATTGCAGACTCGGTTTGATTGAGTCTGTACATGAGGGATAATGAATAAGTGCAACATCCCTCACGCCCCCTAGCACCGGCTTGAGCGGTACTCAAGAGCGGTACTCAATTCTCAACACTTTATAGTGTTGGCATCAATGATCCCGAAGGACCAGAAAATATAACAACACTGAAGTGAAGTACGGGGCAACTTTTTACGGCTGCCACACGGCACTTGACACCTGCTGTTGTGAAGTACAAAATTCTGGAAACAAAGTGATCCCTCGGAAGCATTAATCACAACAAAATAACATAAGAATTGCAGACTCGGTTTGATTGAGTCTGTACATGAGGGATAATGAATAAGTGCAACATCCCTCACGCCCCCTAGCACCGGCTTGAACGGTACTCAATTCTCAACACTTTATAGTGTTGGCATCAATGATCCCGAAGGACCAGAAAATATAACAACACTGAAGTGAAGTTCGGGGCAACTTTTTACGGCTGCCACACGGCACTTGACACCTGCTGTTGTGAAGTACAAAATTCTGGAAACAAAGTGATCCCTCGGAAGCATTAATCACAACAAAATAACATAAGAATTGCAGACTCGGTTTGATTGAGTCTGTACATGAGGGATAATGAATAAGTGCAACATCCCTCACGCCCCCTAGCACCGGCTTGAGCGGTACTCAATTCTCAACACTTTATAGTGTTGGCAAAATGATTAAACCTCTTATTACCTTTTATGGGTCTTTCTCTCCATACTTCCAAGTCTCAGACTGTTGATACTAGTGAAATTCAGTCCACCGAATCCACAAATCAAAGTTCTGATCCAATAGTTGCAGATTCTTCAAGTAATCCCTTGAATGAAACTCCACCTTCTTCTATCCCCACTTCACATATTTCCCCATAGAAGTATATAATCCCAGCAAGGAGGAAATCAGTTCTAAACCCATTTGCCAAACCGTTTTGTCCCAGTCGCCCAGTTCGAAACAAAAGACAACCAAGGTTGTTATCTTCCCCTGAGTGGATGACATAACACTTTGTTTACCTTACCCATATTGTAGATTTTTTTGCTGTTATTTTGATGGTTATGAGAAAATGTTTGAGTATGACTTGTGATGTTTACTTTGATCATATGATTGATTATGATAGAATATGTTTAATTTTGAGAATGTAGAATTTTGTAAACTGGAGTACTTAAACATAGATTTGTTGTTGATATATGACTGAATTTATTGTTTTAAAATGTATAGCGTCTTTGTAAAATACAGGTACTATTGGGAATTTAAGGTTCCTTTAGCTGCGCCTCATATTGTACTATTATTAGATAGTCTTATTTTTCACAGACTTGAGTGCCATCTGTGAATTAATATGATGTTATCTTAATAGTACATCATACACTTGTAAGTGATGTTTGTTTCTATAAGATCAAACCTCTAACGAGATTTGATTTGCTCAAAATATTTTATTATATTAACATTATATGCCTGATGTTCATTGAAGTATTTTGATAGCTGTAACAGCTGATTTACCAGAAGATTGAGTATATATTTTTACACTTATCGTGTATGTACACTTTTGAACTCTATCTGTAAGTGTCTATCTAACAGAAGCATTTACATTGTAAGATTTCTTGGAATTGGTTGTTGTTTTAAATGTCGGGACGACATTTTACCTATGAGGGGGAGGATGTCGCAGGGTCATATTGATGTATTAATGTTAGATGTTATTTGTAAATGTATGTCCCGTACTGTACGCCGTAGATTGTGAAGTCCTATATTTGTGTCCTTATCCTATATTCCATACATTCATCCTTTTATTCATTTACTCATTCATTCATTTCTTTATTTATTCATTTATTAACAAGTATGTACTAACCATTGGTACGGGCCTCAATCTTAAATATTCTATTTCCGCACTAAGTACCTTCACGCATGCGCACTCCTACTGAAGATTTTCATGGCGCGAGCCAGACTTCGTATTCATCGATAATAAATATTTTCTGAGAGCGTATTTCTGTATTTTTATAGCAACCCTCAAGCCCAGAACCTCCTCTTAGCAGCACCTTTCCCATATCGTAAGAGTGGACTGCGACATAAATCCTATGTATTATTGAAGAGGGCACACATAAGCTTTATAGCTTTCTTCCCATTCCAAAATGTATTTTGTAAATATTTTTCACCTTTTAAAGGTGGTATTGTTGAATAAATATGTTTCAACCAAAATATATCCTCACGAGAAAGTACTTAAAATTCGAATATTATAGGTCGCAAAAAGACAAAAACCGGTACAATTGAGAATGCTTCAAGCTCTATCTGATTAAGCTTGTCTATAAAAATCATACCATTCAGGGATATCTTAAATTTTTGCGTGTCTTAAAGCATTACATTGTTTCAAAATTACACGTATCTTATACTCTTTTTAAGTGTAACATTATTTAAAGTGGCGTGTATCTTAAAATGTAGTTTATATAAACATGAAGCGTAACTTAATGTGCCGCGTAACATAGCTTATCATAAAGTGTAGTGTATCTTAAAATGTGGCTATTACTAAGGTGTTGTGCATGTTTAAGTGTAGCTTATCTTAAATCTAGTGTATCGTATATTAAGGTGTTTTATATTCTAAGTGAAGTGAAGTGTATCTTAAAGTGTAGCGTATATTAATGTTCATCGTTCCAAAGTTTGTTGAAAATTAGAGTTGTGTACATCTTGAAATAAAGCGTATCCTAAAACGTTGTATTTCTAAAACGTTGCATTTCTTAAAGTGTAGCGTATTTTAAAGCAAAATACGAGTAACTTTTGACGTTTCACAAAACGTTAGGTGCTTGAAACCATCAAAATCTATATAAAGTACATTCGCTTTATTGAATTGAAGTGTTTTCGTCATCTGTTAATTTTCATATTGAATAAAAATTAAGTAGGAATACTGGATTGAGTTCCGTCATATTCGATTTATTTCGATATTCTGTCCAAGCACTGTCTCATTGAACGACCCTGATATCCATACTTTTTTTTAAATTTTTAGTATGTAACCAACTTTAAGATATAATTGTTTTTTTAGAATTTTGATTTAATGGTGTTATGTTATATTCAACATGCAATTCAGAATTTTGTTGTCATTTTAATCTTTATCCAGGTATGTTGTGTAAATAAAATGTGTTCGTGTGAAAATGCTGCAAAAAATTTTTATCAAAGATTTATAGGTTGTTGGTACAACAAGAAAGAAAACGAAATTATCATTTAAATGTGCGTGCGGATACAGATCATGCTTGCTTAAGTTTGTTTTAGATAAGCAATAATTCTTGCTTCAGAAGTAAATTTCATTGTAAACGAAGTAGTTTTTTGTATGTACCATGCCACAAGTTCAGAATGAGTTATAAGTTATAAGATATACATGTACAAACATATGAAAAGTCTTACACATCAAAACATAGGATAAAATTTCATATTTAACATATTTCAAAAATTCATTTTCAAACAAGAACACGCGATTAGCACATTGTTCTATGCAAGCGAGTTTGAACGATCATATATAATACTTCTGTAAATAATAAATCAGAATAAATCACAGGCACGAGTACCGGACCTGGGAAGAAAAAAGATGACCAGATTGATAAAAAATACCTGTGTTCATCTCACAAGTGTCAAAAACCAAAAAAAAATTGTAAATTATGACCCCCTTTAAAAATATACTATAAGTTAAGAGAAGGCCGGAAACTTCAGATTCGAGTCTACGAGCAATGGGTTCATTTCCCAGGCCGTTGTGAAAACAATTGTCCAGACAATTAAATAAGTTATCTGCACAAAGGACATAACTTTAGATTTTAACCTTTTAATATCCAATTACACTTTTTTTCCCTAATGATTACTGGTAAAAGGGAGATAACTACGACAACAAATGTTTAGTACATATATAACGGTAATGTCATCTTAGAAATATTATAATTGCCGTGTGATAACAGATATTCTACTTTGTTTCTAACATATACAAGTATTTTAATGCAAACTCTTAACCTTTGTTTAAACTTGATAACAATACTTCTCGGCAACGTTAACAAATATTTGTATACCTTTTTTAAGTACATTTGTTTCTTACAAACTTTGTTAGATATGTCATAGCAATTGTTAATACTCGCCAACAATACTTCTCGGCTTACTGTAACACTTTACACCACACAGTATCTGTATGTATACAATTTAATATTGAATAAAATATATGTTATGGTTATGTTATGTTATGTTATGTTAAAGAGCGAACAAGGTGGTAGAAAATAAGCAACAACTGGTATTATTTAATTAATATGCTGTTCCCATACAATGGATTAATTAACTTATGCTATGTTATGGTATGCAATCACATTTCACATTTACTTTGAAAAGAAATGTAGCCATTACATATATGCTAAAAATATTTATTTCTGATTTATAACAATTGATTATAAACTTACACATGTATTAAACATCTAAATACTTCAATAAAATATATTTTTCTTAATTTAAATATTCAATTAATAACAAACTTATCGATTTATTAATCATCTGAATACTTCAATATTTTTATTTCGAATTTATATCAATTAATAATAAAATTACCCATTTATTTAACAACTAAATCTTCAATAATAATGTATCAATAAAAATAAAAACGGGGACGAACTGTCTGCTTATTTGCAAATATGCAGACGGTTCTCCCCCAAAATAGAGAGAGAACCGTCAGGGAGGAAACGTCAGGGGAGGACTTGGTAAGGGAGAGATAGTCTGACTACCGCTCGGAAGTAGCAACAGAGCAATTTACCGTACACCTCCAAAAAAGGTACAGTTACGTATTTGAGTAAAATTCAAAAGTCTTTCGTACTGCAAATTACATTACTGAGCTATTATTTTAATACAATTTTACCATATGAATTCAAATATTTTGCACGGATGTTAAGTTAAAATCATTTCTGGGGGATGATGGGCCTGTAAGTGGTCATAGATGTTCGGTTCTGAAGATAACTGTGCTTTTAAATAATTAAAATTTTATACGTCAAACAGACTGATCAAACTTTTTTTGTTACTAGTAGTTAAAACAGAATATTCTGATTTATTACAAAATATCTACTCCAGCGGATTTTTTTTATTATTACAACATACTAAGTATCTTACCATTTGTGGTTTTAGTAGTTCGACTTTCCCTCCGAAAAGTAACAAATATTTGGTCCGGTCAACCTAGATAGCTAACTATAGGAATTGCCCATTTCTTCGCAAGTAAAAGAGAAAAACAGAATCCCTAAAGAAAGACCAAATCGGCAAAATTGTAAAATGTTGCAGGCTCGGTTTGACCGAGCCTGCTCATGGACAGTACTGGAAAGTGCAAGTTACCGTCCACACCCCCTAGCACCTAGCCCTAGCACCTATTCAACATATAAACACAAAATGGTGAAATTTTGAATTAAGAAACATCCGCAGATGTGCTCATACGGCGATTATCATGGAACCTTCAATGTGACATAAGTGTTATTCCATGAAAAGCGGCGTATGGTCCGGAAGTTAAATAATGCGTATGCCCTAAACGAGAAAACAATGGGCGGAACAAAATAAGATGGATTTTTGAAAGTGGATCTGAGGTAATGAAGACTGCATATCACAGACAAGACGTCAAAAGACAAATTTAAAAAATAGGCAACATATGATTATACAGTTTTCAAGTATAAATACTGGAACCATCCAAGTTGAAAAAGGCCAAGTACAAGAAACCAAAAATACCATCTAAAATGTCTACACAACAATAATGTCGTGCTGAACGATCTTCAAGGATCGAAAATATAACATCATTGATTAAATGTACGGGGAGACATTTTATAGCCGCCACACGGCACAAATAAGTTACTGACTTATGTATGACAGGTTTCCGCATCTGAGTAGCATTGCGTTCGCAAACATTAATCAGACTAAATAAAAAATCTTCAGTATAGCGTCTACAGAGCGGCCCCTCTGTAGAGCAATGACCTCTTTACAACAACATTTATTTATTATTTCTTCCCTATTTAAAAATTTCCATTATATTTCACCTCTGAAGAACAACACCTCTAAACAACAACCAAACTATTTGTCTCCCAAAGGGTGTTTCATTACAGAAGTTAAACTGTAATAAATATCGACAAAATTGACTGGTAGACAACATCTTGTAGATCTGTCTTTCGAATATCATATTATGGTAATTTTAAAGTTCTTCTATTGTAGAAATCTATTGAACTCTAAGAAATTCTTGTTAAAAATGTCTAATTTGAATGAAAAAATGCACACTTTATGTTTTAGAAGCTGTCACATACCTTGTTTATTGTTAATATTTCAATATGTATGACACATTGTAAACTGTTACAATTTCATAATTATGATAACTCTCTTTTAACAGCATCTTACAACTTTTAAATTCCTTTCAAAAAGATATATTATTGAAATAAAAAATAGTTAACGTTAAACAACATTGAGATACGTGTATATAACTTGTTGGATATCAGCTTATCATCCATAGAGGCCAGATATTGGATAAAATTCTTTAGATAAAAAGACAAAATTTAATGTTTATATTAGATAAATAAATTTGTTTATTCAGGTATAGATTCAGACGTTAACACACTGATTCGTAAACATCTTGATATAATTATATACAAGAAAAATGCACAGTTGAAAAAGTTGGAAGAAAGAAACAAACACAAAGCTAAAGATGTTGATGAAAATATCAAAAGACTTAATAAAACGTATGCCTACTTATCTGCTAGAATAGATTGCAATGGAAAATCAAGGCATAGCTTTGAAAAGTCCTGCTTCTATGTTGGAAATGACGTTCTCCTGACCTGGATCCAGGCAAACGAAAAATGCCAACAGCTGAATGCTACCCTGGCTGAAGTTGAAACCAAAGAAGAGAATGTTTAATCAAACTAGCTGCCAGAATGACACCTGCTGATCAGTTGTACGGCGTCTATATAGGTGGGAGTGACTTGAAAAGTGAGTGGGGAGTGGATTTGGGAAGGTAGTAAGAGAAGAATATTTGATGTATTCAATAATTTCAAAGGAAATGAACCTAACGGCAACAGGCGTGAGAATTGTCTTCATCTTATGCGCAAAAAGTCGTGGAAATGGAATGACATTCCATGCGAAACAAGGCTGATGTTCATATGCGAAAAAACAAAGGAGTAATAAACGTAAAGCTCACAAGAAAACTGTATACGTTCTTGTTTTTGTGAAAATACTAAGCAATTCAAAGACTAATCAAACAATTATAAATGCATTGTGAGTGTGTGTTTTTTTTAAATCTGTTTTGTTAACACACTAATGTAGTTTAACAAAATAAATCTTATGTGGAATGCAATAGTTGACTGTACATAAATATTTTATCACGTATACAATTAGACTGTTGCATTTGTAAAAAATCTATCAGAAAAATCAGAAAAGAGCTGATACAAATCTAATATAGTTGAACTTCTTTCTTTATCATGATTCAACTAAAACTGAAATAATACAAAAGAATCATCACATCCTTAATTCAATTTTTTAATTGATAAAAAATGCAGGGGTGTATCAAGATTCAGAGTTTTTCCTCCAATGTTATTTGAATAACCCTTTTTTCATGATTGCATGTCATAGCATATATTGTTAAATAAACTACTCGAATATAAAACTTTCACATTTCATACCATCTATATTCATTAATTGAGAATCTACAGTTAAAAGCAAATCGATTCATCATATTGTATTAATTTTACTAGTAGTTAAAATAGATAATGAAATCTGTTTGCGATCCTCATAGATAATATTAGTTCAATATGATTAAAATCAGCTCTAAATAACGCTCAGCTATTATATCTAACCGTGACCAAATACGAATTCATATCTGGTGATTTTTCACACAGCTTATTATCGGCGAGCTTTCATAATTTTGAAAGCGACGTGGTTTCTATTTTTAACCCTGCAAGAAACAATGCTGAGAAGGTAATTTTCAAACATGGCGTTGTCCATATAGCCGACAGGTAAACCAGCAAAACAATCTTGCCCGTTAAAAATTGACTCTGTTATTCCAAGTTAGTTTGTAAAAAAATTACTTCAAACTTTTTTTTCTAACAAAAATTAACAATTTGTTTAATTTCCACGGATAACGGTATTTTTTATACTTTTTTAATACCTATGTAAAAAACCGGTTTAAAAAAACTTTTTCAGGAAATCCGAATGATAAAGAAGACCAAACATGTGCGGTCGTCATCAGATCTACACTAAAGAAATAAGTAGATCTGAACTTTTTTCAGATTGATATTAGTTAAACAAATAATATTTAAAAATATCAGATCACTACGTTATGCTAATATAAATGGTTAGCTCAATATGAAGAGCGTTAGACTGTGAATCGGGCTACCTGGGTTTGATACCCGGACAGTGCACAGTGACACTTCGTTATCATTGATTAAATGATATTGAAGACGAATTTCTCCTCAAATGAAATATATAGTTGTGTCTGTTTTCCAATACATATCAAAATATAAATACCAAAATGAAATGATTTGACTAAAATATTCTTATGAAGTCTAGTTTTGTTTTAATTTAGATTTGTTTTTTTTCGTTTATTTGTCTGTTGTGTTTTTTGTATATAAAAACAACGGTGGCACAAAGGTGACATGTGTGTGTTTTTATTTATCTCGTGGCCACGAGATACTATGTCGTGGCCATCGTGGCCATGAGATAAATAACCAATCAGATTACGCCATTTATATGAATTTCCCTAATTAACTAGACAAGTGCTATAGTACAAGGATGCCCCTACTTGACCAGCCTGTAAAAGTGCCATTTAAACAACTTATTTTTTTTACTAATTTTACATTTAGCGTAACTGTGACCCTGAATTTTTACCCAATGACCTCGACATTATAAGATATCATCTACTGATCAGGTGCAATGATCTTTCTTACCAAGGTAAGAACTCTCGTGGCTACGACTTTGCTATCTCGTGGCCACTACTTAGTAACTCGTGACCATGTGGCCACGACTTAGCTATCTCGTGGCCACGACTTAGTAACTTGTGGCCACGACATAGTATCTCGTGGCCACGAGATAAAAATACACACATGTCACGTAGAAAATCAGTTAACGTATTTCATTTATCATACTTATTATTATTGAGCATGAATTATTGAGGGGAAGTAAATGCTAAAATATTTGTTATGTAAACTTACATAAGTTATTTCCCTTCATTTGTCACAATCATTAGTTTTCATCAAAACTGCGAGTTTCCTTATTGTGGATTTCTATTTCCGAATTTTTCAAACATAAAAGAAATTGTATTGTAGCTAAATTTGATAATGTTAGGTAAATATAAAGAAATTTCTATGTTTTAACTAATAACTTATCTCATTAAACATTCTCACATTTCATAAACCATTATTTTGCAATTATATATGTTCATGCCATGTGTCATTTATGTACTATAAGTATGTTTTGTATACGTAATTTGGTGATGAGCTTTTTATGCTTAAACCAAGAAATAAAATTTCTGTTCTGTTCAGTTATGTTCTGTTCTGATAATGATATGGACGGGTATGTAATATATGTCTTATTGTGATGATGACGATGATGTTGGTGTTGAGGATGATGATGATGAAGGTGATGACAAGGATGACCTCTATACTCGACAAACCGACGAATCGACAAAATAGTCTTCTATCTACACTGATCTATCTAAAAATAAAATATCCGTCTCTTATGACGAAATCAGGAACGTTTTAATATAGTTTTCTTTTTCATGAAATAAGAGCCCCATTTGTATGAACGAATAATTGTTTTTTTTTATTCTACAGGACAAGCTTGTTTATCGACAATTTCCAGGGCTGACTGGCGATATAACTCGTCTTGCCTTAGTAATTATATTCTTCATGATTACTGCTGGATTTGTTCTTACGCAATTGATCATATCAAATCTATTTATAAGGGGGCAGCGGGAGGGGACATATTCGAATGATGTTCCCGGTCAAATTTTTTAATAACTCAGACATGGTGTTTTGAAGGTACTGGAAACTTCTGATATTTCTCTGTCATTGTAATTCTTTCTTGTTTGTGTGTAGGAAATGAGCAGTATTTTATAAACGGTTTTTACCCGAAACTAAGCATTTTGGTAGCTTTGTATGTATTTGTGACTCTCCGAATGGAGGTAAAAAAGTTAAAAAATCAAGCTTTGACAGTTGGCGCCAAACAAGTAAGAAATATTGGATAAATTTTGTGAAAAATCTAAACGTATGACAGCCACTTTATTGGTCATTTTTGAAAATGCCATAGCTTGCACTGTGTGTTAACTAGTGATATTTTTAAAGGAATCGGGCGGATTCTGGAGTATGCTGCACCTTCATGAAAATTGCCCATATTGGTATATTTAAGGTGTGATTTTGGCTGGGTGGGGGTAAATATAAATTGCTGTCATTTTTTTTAAGGAGCAATGCATGCAAACTATTATTTTCTTCATTGTAAGTCAAATATCATTGAATAATGCTATGCAACTGGTTATCTGCCTGTGAAACAGATTTTGAAATATTTGGAATTGTATTTCTGGCCACACTGAATTACAAAATTATTCATTTTTATGTCCCCTGTCCCCCTAAGGTACTTCAAATGTGCTACTCTTCGACATTAAATAGCAATTGCTGAATTGCAAAATAGAGTGAAAAAAGTTTAAGTTTAATAAAAATATAGGAAGAGTATTGAGTAAAAAAAGTTTAAATTTAATAAAAATATAGGGATATGTCATCATTTAAGTAACTTATTTATTTTAAAATAAAAATATGACAGTGTTGCACAAGTTTGAAACTGAAAATTACACACAAACTGCTATGTCAAAATTCGGTTAAATTACTAAGTATTAGATACAAATATTTTCATAAACATTTAGTCAATATATCAAATAAGTGCACACGATGATAAATGTCTGTTAAATAACCTCCTTTGCGTATTCCAAACTTTTCACGTGCCTCGGCATATATTTTTGACCCGCCATTTTATCAAATCTGTCTGTTTTTACGTCGTTTTCCCCAAAGGATATTCTTTTAATGCTTCGCTTTTTTAAATAAATTAAAACTGATTAACATTCCCATGAACAAAAATATTCATAGACCATACCTAAATACACAGAATTTCATTTCGATCGCTTTATACCTGACATAGTAATATCTTTCTTGTATTTAATTACATTTTTTGGCTTTCTGTTGACCGCATATAACGGAAGGAAGTAAAAAATATACATACACTGAAGTAGACCTCACGTGAAAGATCAGGTAATTTTGGCGCATGTTTAGGAAAGTGACATTTCTTTTATTATTTTATTTTCGTCTTTGTTGAAAAATATCAATATAACAAACGTATTTAAAATACACGTATTATATCATGGAACTTTGAACAATCGCGTACGTTCTTTTTATTGCGTACAATTGGGCGGATATGGATTTCGTATGGTTACCCCAATGTCGTACGCGTAATGATAAATATAGTTTGTTAGAATGGGTACAAAATAATCAAACATGGCGGAGATGTAGACACATTGTGGCGGAAAATCTTCTTTACAACTTATTTCAACTTATTACCGGTAAGATCAGATGTATTAAGTATAATTTGTATCATGGTTTGGAGACCTTTCTGTTGAAAATGTGTCAGGGTTAAATCGTATACATATACATGCACAGTGCGTTAACTGGAGTGCGGGTATTATTTACCCGCACTCCAGAGCATGCCCATTGATTGGCTCATTGTTGCTGGGGTTTACATATTGTGACGGCAGAGAAAGGGAAAGCGACAGAAATGTCATATTCAGATGTTCGTTCATTGGTTCATTTTTGCCGGGGTTTCATATTGTGACAACAGGGAACGTGCTTTTATGTTTGACTATGATACAAAAGAGAAAGAAC